TGGACGTTCTCCTTTTATCACAACTAAGGGATTAGCTGTATAGCATTGGCAGGGAGAAGGAAAGTAGGCACCTCTCTTTAATTTAAACCTTTCATGACCAGGGGTTATTAAAGTCTAGAACTTCAGGCCAAATTTAGGAATGTCAACATGTGTCAGTTAACTAGACTAACACACTGACTAATTTGCATACTTAAATACCTTTTAAGGGCATATAATGTTTTTTTTTAAATTTATTTTTCAGGCTGCAGTGGTATCTGCTTATTACATGAATGAAACCTCCAGACTGCATGTGACCATAGCTGACATGGTGATCACATGATTGGTGGCTGAATCTATCTGTGACAGCTTGGTCTGAGAGGTAGCAGCTGTGCACAATTTTTGTCTGTTACCTGTCAAATAGCAGACATACAAAAAGATACCCTCAGCATGTGGCATAGTTAAGGAGAATCCAAATCTAGAGATTCTCTGTGGGAAAGAGTTAAAGGTTTCAGTGTTTTTTGAAATAGTGAATTTAGGTCCCAACTACTAGTACAATAAAACCAACATCTTTTTATTTGACCTTAGCCCACTTTTTATATTGTTTTTGTAAGGAGGTTGCAATGTGGATGTTTAGTGGCACTCAACACAAATATTTCTGTCTTTTTTAAACATTAAAGTAAAACTACTGGCTAACAGCAGGTAACACAAGGTTTTTGCTATTACATTTGTTAGCCATTAGAGACCCAATTCTACTTCCATTCTGCCTTCACTGAATGTATGAAAAGTGTGCTTTTTTGTCACCAGTAGCAAACTTCTCATTTTCTAGGGCAGGAGATGAAATGAGAATAAAGACTGGTTGCTACAGAGAGCAAGACATTATATATTGGTGACAATTGTAACATTGTGGATTTTTGATCACTTTCAGTAAAATGACTTATTATCCAAAAAGTAATCCATACACATCCACTACTTAATGACCCCGTAATCTAATTTTCATGAAATAATTTTTTATTGCGTTTTTCCTTCTTATAAAGTCCTCTGTGAGCTCCCCAACTTCCCAAATTTGGACATTTTGAGGAAGCTGAGAGCAAAACAAGGTAGCTTTTTATTTCATATATATTTGAATAGATGTTTTTTAAGATCAGAGTTTAATATAACTTTAGGTCTTAAATATGGCATTTTCAAGAGTGTCAATAGAACTTTAATAACCAAAAACAGTATCTACCTTCCCTAAACGCCAACTTTATTGCATTACATTGTCACTAGAGTACAGGTGAAATGTCTTTAGAATATTCAATATAATAAAAAGATATAAAGCATGAGTTTAACCTTTAAAGCTGGACTCTGGGATAAGCAGATAATGTCTAAATACTAAGATACTATAAATACTAATGTCTAAGAGTCATATGTATTCTTATTTGAATTTTGGTGTGCTTTGTGTATTTCTTCCAGATCTTTGTAGTAATCCAATGTGAAACTTTTCCTCTGTGCAGGAACTTCCTGTAGTAAAGACCGGTCACTGCTGCTCTCTCTTTTTTGTACAGGGTGACTGGCCTTGTCTCCTCCCTTCCTTTAGTTGTATACAGGCAGACTGTAGTGTGTGGATTTGCTGAGCCCATCCTACAGCTCTGCTCTTTGCGCAGGCTAACTACAGCACAGTGAGGATGTCACTGTTACCTACCCAAGGTAACAACACAATTTTGCAAAGGCATTTGGTGAACACAAAGTGGATTTATATCCTTTGTGGCTATTGAGGAATATATTTGAATGAAAGTTTTTATGCCTGGAGTTCAGGTTTAAACTAAAAATAATTAGAATCCACTTATAATACAGGTTACCTTTAAAGGTATACTAAATGTACTTTTTAATTAGGATAATAGACATGGTAAGATCACCTGCTCTGTGCAATGGTTTTGCACAGAGTGGCCTCAAGCTTCCTCTTCTTGGGGCCCCCACTGGTGACCTTGGCTCCTCCTCTTTGTGTGCCCCCTACCACAGTCACTTACTATGAGCTGTGCTCCATAGACACACACAAAGGGGCTCAGCCTCGCTCCGTTTCCTCCTTACTGCATTTGATTAACAGCAGCAGGAGCCATTGGTTGAGAAGTGTAAAGAAAACAATGAATATTTACCTTTAATTCATTAAATATGAAAAGTGGCATCTGAATGTCTGCTAAGGGTTGCTGTACTTTGTACAATAACAATCTTGCAGTGGCTTTAATTATTTTCCACATACGTTTTTTCATTAAAAAACAAATAAACGCATGGAAAATTTAAAAATTGCAACAAAATTGCTAGTGCATGATCAGTATTAAAGAAGCAACTGTATGGTCCTGATGCTTTTATTGTGTATGTCTGCTATAATATTAACATCATCTGCTAAACTCTACACATGAAATGTATTAATTATAATGTAAAGGTAATAGCAAATACGTTTGTGAAATTTCCTCCACTTTAGCTAATAAAAAATATCAATTGTATTAATGAAATTGTAAAGCAAATAGATCAGTTTAAAGTAAGTATTATAAGGGCCTCTGTCAAACGGCATTTGTCGAAACAGAGTTTGGAATTCCCATACGAGTCTATGGCAGTGCAAAACCCACATGAAGCAGATCAAATGCACATTAGAAGGTCGTCAACTGCAGGTCAAATACACTTGTCAGTTAATTCAGGATTATCTCAGAAGCAACCAAAACTGGTGTCAAACTGTTATTATTGACCCAAAACCAGGCCCTAAGGGAACAGAAGGGAGTGCAGCATAAATAATAATATTTTTTCATGAAGATGAAAGAATGACAGGATTCCAAGCTAAGAGTTAGAGATCCTATGGGAAAATTCATATTAGAGACACAAAGAAATCCAAACTATACAACTGGGTGACTCAGCTTACCAATATCTACTAAAACTGAAATATCAATATGAAGTCAATGAATCCTTTAAAGTTCAAACATAATTTCTATATTTGTTATAATAAGCACAATTTGTTTATAAGCAGCAGATGTGACTTTCACCAACCATGCTCTGATGTCTGTCATTCTCCATTAGAACACAGGGACTAAGAAAATGCTCCTGTAGAGAGTGCTTCCTGAAAGTCAGATACACTGTTTATAAATATTTCCCTTAAAGAACAACTTTTTTCTCATTTTGGATAGAGCAAGGGACTTTTACAGTATAACCCCTGTCAAATTTTGTTTCGCCATCTGTGTCTCATTGCAGAGATTTCTGGTCACTTCCTGTCCCATAGCCAAACAGGAAGTGAGAGGAAATCCCTGCAAATTAAGGAAATTCCTTGGGGACCCCCAGGTCGCCAGAACTATTTTCTCCATTGGAATGTTTCGTCTCCATTACTTTTCTGGGGACCAACCCAAAATTTTAGATTTTCTTATACTTTCATCTTCAATGATAATAGTAAACAGGTCAAAAAGAGAGGGTGAATCCCCTTAATGGTGCCACAGACAGCAGTAAAAACCTGACAGGTGTTCTAATCCCCCCCAATCTATCCAAAACTAAGAAAAAAAACTTTTGCCTTTAGGTATACTTTGAGTGTTAGTATAACTTTTATTTTTTATTTTTTTACATAAAAAATTATCATATCCTTTACTTCAATCATAAAGCCATGTGCTTTAAATTTCCCTTGAAAATGATTGGGTATTCACACTTAACACATCTTTCCCATATTCAGTAACTTAAAGCGAAACTATACTTACCTCCAGTCCTGTTATGTACTGTCCTGGAGCTCCCCACCTTGCAGCTGACATCATCAGGAGTCTGACTTCCAGGTCCCAAATAACGACCACTGTCATTGGTTGGGCAGGAGTGACGTACTGACATCACTCATAAGCATGCGTGGTAGTTCCATCAAATTCAGCATTGGACAGGTGTGGAAGGCAAGTAGGTAGCTTTAATGCAACAGAGACAAAGCATGTGTCTTCTGCATTAAAAATCCTGCATCTTGCCTGTCCGCCAATTTTTTATTTTTTTACCTAAAGTTCCACTTTAAGTAATTATTCTCTATTCCTTGAGTAAAGGAACCCCAGTGAATATACCTTCTTATACTTAGGGCAGTAAGGCTGTTGCACGCTTCCAGCACAATCTATGGAATGTATTTAAAAAAGGTGAAAATGCCTGGTTGTCTTGTTTTGGAGACCACTGTTTGTTGAAATTCAAATTTGCCATATTTTCACATTGGTTGCCTTTAATATAAAGTGGTGTTTTGGAGTGTTTGATATAAATAATAGGACAGTTTTGCACTCCATTTCTACCATGGCTTGTACTAGTGCAGAGTATGGTAGAAAAGGTTGGTAGGTTTGTTACAGTCTGCCAGAAGTGTTCACCTTCTTTATCAAAAATATGCCATGTTTCTCCAAAATGAAATCTTTTTTTATGAACCACTTCTTTTTTGAAACACAGCTTTTCTAAAAAAAAGACTCCATTTTCTTTATAAAATTACAGTGTTTTTCCCCTTTTTTTCTAAGAATAAAAAGATAGGTTAAAAAAGGCACATGACCATCGACTTCACCCGAAAAAGTTACTTTTATAGTAGAAAACACCTTTTTTTCCACAAATTTAAAAGAACAGTTAGTGTTTTTTTTTGTTCAATTTGCGAGTTGGCTGACAACAGCTGGCAAAAACTATTGTAAAAGAACAAGGAAATAGTGTGAGCATTTCATTATGCCACTTCTAGCTCTGGCTTTGGGGTAATACAATCTGCCAGTGACTATATGTAGGGTAGGTGGGAGAAGGTATTGCCTAAAGAACTGAAAATATTTGTTATTTTTTCATATCCTAAGGAACCTGTACAGATGAAATACAGATCTAGTAGAAAATATGAACTCAGAAGGAATTTGAAGTACTTTTCCTGATCCACCTGTGCTCAAAGGTTAAGTAACCATCTTAGAGTTCATAATTCCATCATTTTCTTTTTAAAGAGAAATGTTGGTCTTTTCATGTTCCTACTGTATCTCAACTATATTAGAAGAAACTTTCAAAAGGATACAGTACTGAAACTGAAGTTAACTTACCATCTCTAGACATTCCCAGGGCAAGACACTTCTGCAGTCTACAGTGCTGGCAGCGGTTTCTATTTGTTCTGTCAATTAAACAGTTCCTCTGCCTTGGGCACGAATAAGAGGCATTGTTTTGTTGACTTCTTCTGAAGAATCCCTGAAATGGTAAGAGATAATTAGGAATCCAAATGATATTTGTGTTAATTAAAAGTATTGTGATAAAAAATTGTCTCATTACTAAATAAAGAATAAAAAAGAAATCTCTGGGATGTTGATTTGTATATGAAATGTAGCCCTGCAGTATGACATTAGCATTTGGAAGGCTCATAATGGGATATCATTAATATTATGGAAGAAATACCTATAAATGTTTACTGTGGTTGTTGTGAGCTAGCAAACTCAACCAAGAGGATTGTAAGGGTGGCCACAGATGAAATGATTTTTCTAATAAAACCAAGATTGGATATTTTAAACAAGATATACACAAATAATATCATCACAATTATGCTTTGTAAATAATTGTCATGCAAGAATGATTACATTTTGAATGGAATCATTCAATATTAAAAGTCCATGTGCTATTGAATTAGCAGATTCGCAGGCATCATAATTACTTCACTGCCTACCACTCTGTATAACTGTTCACAATAACAACTTTGGTTAACTGTTGTCTGCAAGAAAGATTTTTCCATCTTGTTGGAAAATCAGTTTTGTTAATATTTGCCAGTTAATAAGTCACAAGAAAAATTTTAATATTCACTGGATTGGATAAAAAAATGCATGTCTCTGACCATCTGTACACTATTTGAGATATTTATCCTAAAAACAACTTGACAAAAATGGCTTATGCTCCGCATATTAAACTATGTATGAATAAAACTATACTTTTTATTAAAGATGTTTAATGTTTGGTTGCTACCTTAAAGTCCAAGAGGTATTGGTAGTGTGTTTGTATTAGACTCTATATATTGTCTTTAGTTATGAAAAATGTGTAGTTCTGCCTTATTTAGTTTTGGAGTGTCAGGGAGAGTTCATTTATTAAAGTGATTGTAAAGGCTCAAGGTTTTTTACCTTTATTCATTCTATGCATGAAGATAAAAAACCTTTTCTGTACAGCAACCCTCTAGCCCCCTAATACTCACCTAAGCCCCCTCTCGATCCAGCGATGTGCACTGGAGTCTTGGCTATCCCGGGACTCCCTCTCCTCACTGGCTGAGACAGCAGCAGGAGCCATTGGCTCCCACTGCTGTCAATCACAACCAGTGAGCCAATGAAGAGACATGGGGCGGGGCCAAGCCAAGGCTCCATGTGTGAATGGACACATGAAGCAGCGGCTTAAGAACACGCCTGCTTGGGTGCCCCCATAACAAGCTGCTTGCTGTGGGGGCACCTAACAAGGGGGAGGGGCCAGGAACGCCAGTGGGAGACCCAAGAAGCGGAGGATCCGGGTTGCTCTGTGCAAAAACATTACACAGAGCACATAATTATGACATGTTTGTTATTATTATTTTTTTTTTATTTAAGCCTTTAGTATCACTTTAAATGTTATGTTCACTGTTGGAGCATGTTACATGGTATAATCATTTTAGGGAGTAACATATAACATGCTCTGGCACCTCCCCTCCACCCCCCAAAAGTGGGTGGGGGCTTCTCTCCCCTGCAGCCACTGTCACATTTAAAAATGGAGCTGGGCTGGTGGAGCCCATACGGCCATGTCATTAACCATTTGCCCTCTAGAGGATTTACCCCCCTTAATGACCAGGCCTCTTTTTGCTACTCAGCGCTGCACTAATTCAACTGATAATTGTGCGGTCATGTACCCAAACAAAATTTATGTCCTTTTTTTTTCACACAAATAGAGCTTTCTTTTGGTGGTATTTGATCACCTGTGCGCTTTTTATTTTTCAAGCTATAAACAAAAAAAGACCGAAAATTTTTAAGAAAAACTATATTTTTTACTTTAGGCTATACAAAATATATAGTAAACTCAAAGTTAGTTATAAATTTAGGCCAAAATGTATTCTGCTACATGTTTTTGGTAAAAAAAAAAAATCCCAATAAGTGTATACTGATTGCTTTTTGTGAAAGTTATAGCGTGTACAAACTATGGTATAGATACTGCAATTTAGGCCATTTTTTTGCTATACAGCACTGCACTAGTTTAACTGACAATTGCGCAGTCATGCAATATGGTACATGAAATTCATGTCCTTTTTTTCACACAAATAGAGCTTTCTTTTGGTGGTATGTGATCACCTGTGCGCGTTTTATTTTTTGCGCTATAAACAAAAACATTTTGAGAAATTTTTTTTTTTTTTTTAAAAACAATATTTTCTCATTTCTGTCATAAAAAATATCCAAAAAAACTAAAATTTCATCATAAATTTAGGCCAAAATGTATTCTTGCTGATCTAAGTACAAATACTATTAAAACAACTTCTTTCTAACAACATTTCTTTACCAGATGGCAAATAAACTATCCAGTATTGTCAAGACTGTGTACAACAGACACATTTCTGCTTTTGCTGTTCACTTGTGCTTGGACATAGCTATTTCTGTTTTGGTATCTTGTCTTATCTCCATATATGTTTGGTCCACAAGTTGTTTTTTTTTTTTTTTTTTTCTAAAAAAATGTGTAACTTTTGCTCTCCTACATCATTATTTTTTTTCTTACTAGCCTAAAAATGTCTGTAATACACATATTATGGAAAATGGTGTGTGTTTCCAAAATAAAGTTGTGAGCTTGATGGTGTATAAAGTGGTTAAATCTCTATTCTCCCCTCAGCACCAACTCCCACGTCCCCTTCCCCTCCTCTCCCCCCTATTCCATTCCCTCCATCCCTGGCAGACAGTCCATGCACCCATAAGAATGCTGTTTTCTTTTGATTTTAATAATGTATTACATGGTAATACCAATCCCTGTTAGAGTCAAAGTTCTTATGCATATGATACCACCTGTCTATATTTGTTTCTGTCTACCTGGATATACTGTTGTAAACCAGCCTATGTCCTGAAATGCTTACAGATGTAACCATGTCTTGCTTTTTTTTACTCAATAAAGCCTTTGAACAAAAAAGGTCCTGTGTGACTTATAATTTTCTTTTGATTTTGTATTATGATGTATTTTTCTTAGAGCACAATGCAAAAAAATTATGAGAAAAAAAACCCACAATCAGCAAGCTTGTTTGCATTTATCTATATCTAGTAACCCCAGGTTAAACCTAAGTCTAATGTATGTCATACAACAGGTAATAAACATTGCCTTTACAATGTTGATTATCCCCTATGTGCTTCAATTATGAGGGTTTTTCATTGACAACTTGCCTTTGTCTGAAAACTGAAAATTCAAAAGACTGGAACACAAATGGGCTGTCTATTGGGCATCATTTTTAGATAAACATAGTTGAAGCATCGACTTTGGGAGAAGGTTTATTGGATTGAAATTAGAGTTGGAAATAGAAATAAAAGCTGCTCTGAGCTGGTCTGCCTGTGACATGTGGTATGTGACATACCATACAGGAAGAAGGATGCAAGCATATATGTGTATGGAAAAGTCAGGTCAAAACAGATCTTTAGATAAACTGATTTATGTAAGACTAATAACCATGTCACGTTTACAGACTCTTTTAATGTATTGCTTTCCATAATTTTATGAATAGGTTAATTACATCTTTTACTTTTTTTTACTTTGTTGTCATAAATATCTGCATTAAAAATGTAAACGTTGTATATTATGCTGAATTAATATTTCGACACAGCAAGTAGAATAATTTATCAACAAATAAAAATATTCTTCTGCTACTGGTATAACACCTAAGCATTTTTGTTGCTATATATATATTTTGTGGTGGATAACTATTATTGAATATGTAGGCTATAGGCTAATGGTATGATGTTGCCTATGGCAAGTTATGTATCCTTGATGTGCTCTGGATTCTGTAATACTTCTTTTTTTTTGTCCAAAAAAACATTTTTCTATTGAGAATAAAAAAAATCTTCAATAATTTGCTCGTAGAAAAAAAAAATCTATCTATCTCAGAAAAAGACAGAGAGAATCTAAATGGAACTAATACAAAGAGACTAAGGATCTCTTCTGTGCAGGTAGTAAGGATATAAATAAATATTAGCATCCCAGCCCTCTAATACAGTCAGCACATACATACACGTACAAACACTTAATATGCAAGTGATTATCATTTTCCTTGGCAGTGTGATAATATATACACATAATAATTTGTTGAAGATGTGTTATATTCACAGGTGTATTTTCAGTTTGGCTCTGCAGTTTCTTTTAGTAAACTATTCAGAGAATGCATGTTGCACCTTTACAAGTGCTAATATTATTTCATATACACAATAATCCCGATAATTTCACTATAGGGAGAAGAATTTAGGCACACCACATCCATTATGAGCACAATAAAGTATTTATCAATACTCTATAGATGGACCACCTTTAAATACAGTGATGAGGGTTAAGTAAAAGACTAAAAAATCAACATCATTTTTCTATGTAGTAGCCTTAGTTCTACGTTTGTTAAGGGCTTTATTTATGTATGTGGGTTTGTGTGGATTTATCTCCACAACTCAAAAACATACCGGTAAAGTAACTAGTGTCTTCCTTTACCATAATATAGGAACATTGATCTGATGGTTACTAGAAGAACTCATTTAGTTAATAGTTTGCAAGACATGTAAGTAAAGCAGTAATAAACTCAAAACCAGAATTGATATATGTTACAGCTTAACAATCATTAGATGTTGTGGCTGCATTTGTTTTCTTTTTTAGGCTTCTTTGCCTCTGTTTTCACCTGGTGATCTGGCTAGTAACACATATTCTGTATTAAAGTATCCCCATTCTGGATGAAGGAGCAACAGAGACACCTTTGGGCAGCAGCATTGTCAGTCTAGGGGGAGGGGAACGTTAGATGTATTAGCTTATTTAAATCCACAAAGCAAAAACTCCAGCTCACACTGCAGTTACACAAGAATCTTGGGATCTTTTGGGATAAAGGTTTTACATGAAAATATAAAAGCTGATCATTGTAAGGACCCCTGGCAGTGGTAAATGGTTTGTCTCATCACTCTAACTGCTACATTGGCAGGAGAGTTTGTTCTGTGAATCAGCCTAAAAAGCATAAAAAAACAAAAAAAGAA